GTTGTCTGTCCCCCAGGGAGGAGGTCACACACAGTTCCATGTAATCGGTTCCCTCTTTCCTACCCATTCTCCCTTTACCCTCCCTGTTTTGCCACTCTCACCACTGGTCCTATAGGGCTCATCCGTCCTGGATTCCCTTTCAGAATTATTTTATATATTCATGTGGTAGTTCAAAAACACTCAAGACAAATAAATCTAATTTAGGGAAGCACTCTATAAGGGGGCTTTAAAAAATTCCTGAGAAAATTCCATTATTTTTTTCTCCAAAACCATTTTATGCCTTGTTCAGGCACATCAAGCAGTATTGTATATTTGCTTCCATAATCAGTTTCAAAACATTATCTTCCTTTTTGAACTCCTTGATATCAGATCACCTTTGCCGCGCCCCCCCCCCTTCTCTTTTAATTAAAAATTTCCCTGAACTTTTCGATGTCCCCTTATATTTATCTCTGGAAAAGGAAGAGTAATAATGAGATCGTGTTCTGATTTATAGGAACTGTTTAACACTATTTTAGATGGGGAAAAGAAATCAGGCAAAAACTAATAAGCTTGATAAGCTTGGGCCTGTGTATGCACTTTAAAGCTAAAGTATACATCGGAGATCAGATTGGTAAGAGAGTGGCATCTTTGAGAGTGGCAAAAAACAAAATTGGAATTGTATTTTCATTGTAGAGTCAATTGGATTTAGGGATGGTCTGGGTGTGGGAGATAGGAGGAGATAACATCTCTGAGGATAATATTTATGGGAGAAGAACAGATTTGAGAAAAGATTGTGTGTTCAGTTTTGGATAATTAAATTATGGAAATATCTAGTAGGTTGTTAGCAATGTGAATTTGAAAGTTTAAAAAGATTTTCACTGGAGATAAAAATTCAGAAGTCGATATATATCTATGGTACTGAAAGGTTTTAAAAAAAATTACAGATTCCCAAAAGAAAAACAAACCAAACCACCAAGACTGGTTAAAACTGGAGGACTCTCAGACACTACTGTCCTGAGATACTTTTCAAACCTTGAGATGAAACAAACCCCTAAAGTCACTTTGAAGCTGAATAACATTGGCTAAAACAATCAATGTAGCCCATAAGCCATGTGGTCCTTAAAAAAAAACACCTATATGAAACCAGTGGTCACTAGTTACTTTAACAATAAAATAAGAATATAACAGGAAAGGGAAACTATATTAATGGTAATGGAACAACCAGAACAGAAATTCAAAAGAATGTTCGCACATGGTGTAGAATATCAGTGCCACTGAGGAATTTGTGTAAAAATTGTTAAAAGGGGACTTAAATTGCTCTTTAACCTTTCACTCAAAATACTGTAAAATATTACTTTTTAAAAAGTTCTGTAGAATATTTATTAATGTCATCAAACAACCCTTAGTGATTTGTTAACATATTCAGTTTATTTTAAGTAGAGAAATAAATAACTACGTGTGAACAAAAAAAAGAGAGAGAGAGAGAGAGAGAATGGATAAGATTATGTAGGAAATACACATATCTAAGTAGTAGAAGTTGTCCCTGGATGGTGTAAATGATTAATATGCTTCATTACTAACTGTAAGATTCAAAGTTTGAGTCCAGCTAGAGGTGCCTAGAAAAAAAGAAAGGGTTGGTGGTCTACTTCTGAAAAATCAGCCCCTAAAAACCATGGAACACAACTTCTTCTGAAGTACATAAAGGCCACTCGGTGACATCCACTCATGCAGAAAAATCCCAAACCAGTCCCTGAAAAATTCCCAATAGGCAAAGAAACAGAGGTCAGCAAGGAAATAAACAGAAAGAGTGGCTAGAAAACCAGCAGAGTGGAACATCAAGGAAGCCAAGACAAGCTAATGTTTGGATGCTGTTGAGAGATCTGAAACTACTCTACCACATTTCCTTATTTTAACCTCTTGATATCAGATATCAGAACCTGAAGTGATTGTACTTCTTTTTGTCCATGTTTGTTTCTAGACTTCTTGAAGGTAAGATTAGTTAATATCTTTTCAATGTGTAGAAAATATCTGGCACTTACCTTGACATTGGAATATTTATTGCTGAATCGACTTATTCAGATGTTCTAGGGCTAGTTATTTCTTGCTATTAACTTTTTACCTTAATGTTTTAAATGCATGAATTAGATGCTCATGTTGGGCAATTTTCATTTTGATAGATTTTCCTGGGGGAAGTTAAAGAAAAAGTTTAATGTTGATAGAAGCAAAATAAAAATTGCTGTTGGGTATCATTGAGTTGGTTCCGCCTCATAGCGGTCTTTTTCGAGGGATTGTCCTTTCCTGATAACAGGTCCAGAGTACATGCCTCTAAGGAGCCATCCTTGCCATGGAGGAGCATTCTGGTTATACTTCTTCCAAGATAGATTTGTGTGTTCTTTTGGCAGCCCATAGTACTTTCAATATTTTTTGCCAGCACCATAATTCAAATACATCTATTTTCTTTATTCAGTGTACATCTTTCACATGCATATGAGGCATCTAAAAATAATCTGGCTTGGGTCAGGGACATCTTAGCCTTTAAAGTAACATCCTTGCTTTTCAACACTTTAAAGAGGTGCAGCAGATTTTAAAATAGTTTTACATCAGATCCTGTAACAGTTCACAGTATCCTTAAACTGTTGTACACATTCCTTTCTTGGGTTTGATAGTTAGAATATTTCCATGGAATGTTTGTATTTGCTGTTATACCAAATATATATATACTGCCCAACTAGAGAACTATGTCATTTTCTTCATAGCTCTTCTAGTAGCACAGTGGTAATAACTTATCCTAGATTTCCTCATGTGCTGGTTACTATTCTGGACCCTTTACATGTTTGTATATTTTCATGAGCAACCTCAATGGTAGGTATTTGTATTATTGATCTAATTATATAGATGGTATATATTGTAACTTTTTGAGGTTCACATGCCTAATAAGTGGTAGAATTGCAATTTGAACCCACTAGAAGACTATATTACAGCAGTCTGATCCACAGCCATTTATGAGAATGCACAGCATTCTGTTTTGCACTATCGTGCATGGATTTGCCATGAGTTGGGGCTGACTCAATGATGGATAGCAAAAAGTTTTAACTCCAGAAAATATATCTTATCTACTAAATCATATTGTTTAGTTTGTTTGTTTAGTATTGTTTTTATTGTTTATTTGGACTGTTCTAAGGTCATTTCCTTAGTGTGACTTTCCTGGACAATGGATTGCCCTCATAAGGTAATTGGTTCATTCTAGTTACTTTATCAAGGAGCCTCTGTAGAGCAGTGGATGGTAACCAAAAGGTCAGTGGAGAAACAACCTAGTAGTCTGTGCCTATAAAGTTTTACAACTTAGGAAACCCCGTGGAGCAGTCCTTCGGTGCCGTACAGGGGTTTCTGTGAGTCTGAATTGACTTGATGGCCCACAGCTGAAAGAAGCGCTCTACCCAGGCCCCTGGGTGACTAAAATTGTTAGTGACTACTGACCTAAAGGCTGGTGGTTTGAGCACACCCAGTGGCACTGGGTGTAGAAGAAAGGTCTCTGATTTGCTTCTATAAAGATTACAGCCAAAAAAGACCCTGTGGAGTGGAGTTCCCATGAGTCAGAATCTACTCGAAAGCAATGAGTTTTGGATTTTTGCTATTATTGTTGTTTCTGTTTTTGGTATTAGTTGCTGTATAGAACTTTGTATACTCATCTTGTTATAATCTTGTTTTTTTGCTTTTTATTTTTACAATGTATAGCATCTCATTGCAGATATTGGTCATGATGCTCTTTTTTTTTTACAGTGAAAGGCAAAGAACAAGAGAAGACATCAGATATCAAGTCAATTCCAGGTGAGTTCAGCAACATTCCATTGCACTGAATATACAATGCCTGTATGTTTTGCTTATAAATTCCTTAATTCCATTTTCATCTCCATTTGACATCAATCATTTCTGCCCATATAATTATTTCTAATTACGAATTATTTCGCACTTTTATCTACCAGTATATTCTTCTGTATCTAGCACAAGTAAGTTTTTATGAAACAAAGTAAGCTTTTATGAATCATTTTTTGACTATCACTAGTGATTACAGTGAGCTAGTGTTGTACTTATAATTATACACTTAATTGTTCCTTAAAAGTAGTTGGCTGACTATTTTAAGAAAGAGAAAAATAAAGAATAATTTTAACTAGGCAGTATGGTGTTTTAGTGAAAATGTTTCTATTTACAAAACTTGATTTTCTGTTGTCTAGAAGCGTTTACCACTTATTTATTTTTTAAAAAACATTTTATTGGGGGATCGTACAACTCTTAGCACAATCCATACATCAATTGAATCAATCATGTTTGTACATATGTTGCCCTCATTCTTTGCTAGATAATTACTTTCTATTGAGCCTTTAGTATCAGCTCTCCCCCCTGCCACCCAATCAATTCTTTATTATTTTGGGTGAATGATCTTAATTTAGAATTTATTTCAAGTATTTATTGGATTCAATATACTGTTTTTAGTGTTTGCATTAGAATCTGTTGAAAATTTTTTTATGGTTTTATTATATCTAATGTGCAAAGAAGGAGTCCTGATGGCACAGTGATTAAGTGTTCAGCTGCTAATAGAAAGGTCAGTGATTTGTATGCATCCATTTCTCCAAGAGAGAAAGGTGTGTTAGTTTCCATGGAGATTTACTGCCTAGGAAACCTTAGTGGGCAGTTCTACTCTGTCCTAAAGGTCATTATGAGTTGGAATAGATTTGAAGGCAACAGTTTAATGTACAAGGGAAAATTTTATTGGAAATTATTTCCATAACTATTCCATATACATGTCATGATGTAATTTACTTACATGATATCTACAGATTGCTTCTTACATCATTAAAAAAATGTTTATTTGTGGCTAACGTTGGGTATCAAGTCTACTGTTAATTTATTGAAAGAGACTGTTTAAAACTTATTAAGAGATTGGGAAGATTTTGGAAGAAAAGGACCTTTGCTTACTTACTTCTGATCATTTATATCCTGTTGTATTCCACATTCATTCATTAAGCATATTGATCTGATTGGCATTGATTGAGCTAGATCTGGTGTCAAAGAGGCATTTTGATTTCTTGAGCAGTTAAATAAGAGGCTTTCATTCTAAATTTTGCCACTAATAGTATGACTTGGGAAGTCACGGAACTTTCCTTAGATTATTCATTTGGAGAATGAGGAGACTGGTCTAGCTGATTTATAAATCTCTACCAGTCTAAAATAATTTTGTGATTGTACTGTATTTAGCAAAGTATATACTCTGTATGTAGCGCTCTTTAGCTTAACCTTGGATGACACAGAAGCAGTACAGAGGGCAAGTAAATTTGTAGTCTGGCTGGAAAGTAAATTTTACAGACTGACCAGTAGCAAAATAATAAGAGCTATCATTTCTTGAGAACCTACTCTATTTTAGGCATTAGGCACAACTGGATATAGTTGAACAGAAAAGTCTGAAATTCTGCTCACATTAAATTTTCACAGTTAGTGGGAAAAGATTGTTAAAAGATAACTGCAAGGCTGACCTGTACTGCATTAATAGTGATTGAAATAAAGAGATTTGGATGGAATTAAAATTAATTTAGGAGGTAAAATGGATTGGAATTTGTTATTGATTAAGAAGCATGAGAAAGAAGGAGATATTAAGGATGATAATTACTTATTTGCTTGCCTAATTGTGTTCCTGATGAAGAACTAAGCTTGGAAACATTTTGTTAGTTTTAGTATATTAGATGGGTGGTATTTTTTTTAATTGTTTTATTAGGGGCTCATATAACTCTTATCACAATCCATACATACATCAATCGTGTAAAGCACATTTGTGTATTCTTTGCCCTCATCCTCAAACCATTTGCTCGATGGGAGGTATTTTTAAGACATTTATTTTACATGTGTTTTCTGCACAGTAGTTCTAGAATCTGAATTTATAAACAAAGATAAGAAAATAAATTTAGCAGATGTTCAAATCAGTAGAAAAAGTTCAGTAATTGCTGTTGTAAACACTGTATGTGTTACATAACAGTTACATATGTTGCCTGTAGTGTTTTGATTTGAAGAAGAAAGAAAAAGCTGGACCCCTACTCAAATTTAGCAGCCCACTTTGCTGCTTTGAATATGAGTTGCTCTCCAAACCCCTTCAAAAGCCCTTTCGCCTGAAAGTGTCAGGATCCTAATGCAGAATACAGTGGCTTCATTGATGGGCTCAAACATAAGAACAATCGTGAGGATAACACCAGACGGGGGGGTGGGGTAGGGTGGGGGGGGCTGTGTTCTGTTGTGTATAGGGTCAATAAGAGTCAGAATCGACTCGACAGCACTGAAAACAACGCACAAGATTGAATTATTGACAGGACTCTGAAGATCAGCACAGATTTAAAGTGGTTCGGCTGACATCTTTGGCACATCTGTTTATTTCCTACATGAGTCAAGATAGCATGGATGACAGATTTGGTTGTTATGCAGCATGTATATATCCCATGTTTACAACAATTACTGAATTGTTTTAAACTGGTCCACAGCCCTGGTTTTATCTATTTTACCGACAAAGCAGAGTCTCAGTTAAGATATATTTTTGGGAAAAGAAAGAGCTTGTAGTTTTAAAAAAAGTATGAAAGCGATTGCTCTAGTAATAATTGAAGATTTGAGAATATATGTGCTTCAAACAATGAATAAGAAGACCAGAGATACTTCACAATAAGAAGAGTAAAGGAAGGAGATTGTATGTGCTATTCAGTGTTTACTAAATGTTTGTTTCAGAAAGAGCAAGTAAAAAATAATTGTAAACTTCACTTAGGCTCTCTCTGTTTAATTCTTAATAATTTTTTCTAAAATTTCATCTTTAGTATCTGTACATTCCCCACAAAAAAGCACTAAAAACCACGCCTTGCTAGAGGCTGCAGGACCAAGTCATGTTGCAATCAGTGCCATTTCTGCCAACATGGATTCCTTTTCAAGTAGCAGGACAGCAACACTAAAGAAACAGCCAAGCCACCTGGAAGCAGCTCATTTTGGTGACCTGGGTAAGTGACTTCTCTTTCCCTTAATTTTTAGCAGGAGGAAAGATCTGCGTGTATTATTTTGATATTTTTCCCATAGTATACTCAATTGTATAATTTGAAGGTAATTGTGTTTTCTTCCTTAATTGTAAAATGTAAAGCATGCTCAATAGAAAAATAGGACATTTCAAAAGAAGAAAGATACATACACTGGAATATGAAGGTATGTCAAAACGTATTTCTACAAAATCTTAGATACCTTTATTAAAAAAAAAAATTAAGCTACTGTTAATATACACTTTATCTAGGTCTATCTAGAAGATGGTGTTTCCACTCTATCCCTTCTCCCACAGAATTCTTTTTTTTTTTTTAATCATTTCATTGGGGGCTCATGT